TTAGGGATTAATTTGGCCACCGCATTTTTTTTAAAACAAATGTTTACCGAAAAAAAATTATGAAGCAAGTAAAGTACCGTTGATTTGCTTTATTATGCAAGTCGCATGCTACTAATTTAATATTTTTAATAATATAAGAAATTTTATAGTAATGTAAAAATTTCTATTATATAACTTTTATGATAATTTTAATTAAAATTAAAATATTAGCTTATTAATACATTTTCTTTAAAACAAATGTTTACCGAAAAAAAATTATGAAGCAAATAAAGTACCGCTGATTTGCTTTTACCCAGAGACAAGGTTCTCTCCTAAAAAACATTGAGGGGGCGTTTCGTACAGGAGAAATCTTTATTTGTCCGGGAATCTCGATTTTTAAAAATATAATTTTTACATTCAGTTTACGATAATATCTGAAAATTTAAAATTTTAAAAATTTCAATTTCCCGGAAATCCAGAAAAAATCCGTGTACCAAACGACCCCTGAGTTTAGACTTAACAAAAGTTGTTGAATTTTTTTTTTTGAAATGTAAACATCAATCCTCAAGCTAACGAGAGAGAGAAACTAATTTGATTTGGACAAAATACAAAAACAATTGTTTCCCTCCTTATAACAATTGTTTCCTTTCCGCTGAGTTCATTAGCGCATTTTTTGAAAAAATGGAGGGATTAAAATAGAAAAGTGGAGGGATTAGGAGGAAAAAATTCCCAAAAGGATGAATCATAATGGAGAATTAACCAAATGGAGTGGATAGGGGTCAGCTACCCCAGCCACAATAGGGACACAGGCAGGGTGGGGATTTCAAGTTTGGTAATGCTGATGGTGGGGTGGATGGGTGAGTCATTAATCCTAGCCCCTAGTAGGGACACAGGCAGGGTGGGGATTTCAAGTTTGGTAATGCTGATGGTGGGGTGGATGGGTGAGTCATTAATCCTAGCCCCTAGGCACCCAAACCATGGCTTTTTGACCCTTGTGTCCCTCATTAAATAATTAATAACCAATTTGCCCCTCCCCCAGAACTATCCACCATCCTGCCCCCATTTAGTCGATTAAGTTTCACTTTTAATCGACTAAATGGGCAAAACTCAGAAATCATGAAACACGAAATTTAGTCGACTAAATACTCACCTTAATCGACTACATTCGTTGCACTTTTAGTCGACTAAGTCCATTATTTAGTCGACTAAATGTCGCAGAAAACCCTATATCCAGACCTCTCTCGGTCTCATTTTCATTATATTCGAAATCAAAACTCCTCTTTCTCTTGTTTGTCAGCTGTGATCCTTCCCATCACCCTTCCATTTCATCCCACCACCTCTAAGGCATAGTAATTGTGAAATCATTGTCGTTTCCCTTTATTTCTCAATTGTTTCCCCCAAATCCGAACCCAAAACCCTAAAATCCGATTCATACCCCCAAAATTCGTGTGAAAGATGAGCTCAAGTCCAAACATGTATGTTACCATGATTTACTATGATGGAAAGCATTATGAAGGCCCCAACGGTGTTCAATTTAAAGGAAAAATGAAAATGTTGAAGATCAAACGGGGCACTACGTACAATGAGCTGAAGGGGAGGATTCACCAAAAATTGGGGCTACACGGCAGCCATGGCGTTCAACGGATGATCGCCAGGGTAGAGTCTACAGTTGGTAAGGATGCTATATTCTACATTGGTAATGATATATGTGACGATGAAGATGTGGACTGTGTCATAGATGCATTTGTGGACCGAAAATTTCAAAACTTTATTGCGATATATGTTGAAATAGACTGTGGTCAATCTTCATATGCACCTGTGCATGGAAGAAGTCAAAGTCAAGAAGACAGAGTGGTCGATTTATCTGCACCTGCACCTGTCTTAAGTCAGATAACACTGAGGGAAATAGACGAGGATGAGGATGAGTATGACGAGGATATGGACAGTGAAGACGATGGTGAACCCGAGAGTGTTATTTCGCTGGGTGACACCTCAGATACGGACGTACATTTTGACGCTGATACTAGTTCAGGAAACTTGAGTTCCCAGGTTATGCCACCACTCCGTGTTGACCCTGTTAGCAGTGGTAAGATTGTAAATTAAAGTTTTAATTTTGCATATATATATATATATTTGTGTTTTCTTTCGTACTGACGGATAAGTTTAAATTTGGACGTAGGTTCTGAGATTGAGCCATTTTGGAACGACAACCCACAATATTCCTTCATTAATTGGGCTCACCCTAATGATGAGACAGAGATATTGTATGGCGACGATGACATCCACGGTGGCTGGCATTTAGGGGATCCATTATATTTGTACCAGGAGTTTCGAACTAAATCTGAAATGCAACATGCAGTCAAATTATATTGTATGAAGTCTCATCGTACTGCTGTGGTGGCAAAAAGTGATGACCATAGATTTGTGATGAAGTGTCGACACCATAATGATGGTTGTCCCTGGTACGTGCGGGCTATGTTGCCCAAGAATGGAAATAGTTGGGTTGTTAGTAAGTGGGGTAAAAAACACACCTGCCTAAACCAAGGCCTTACTCGGGACCATAGACAGCTGGATTCTGATGTAATCTGTGCAGCCATTATAAGTATGTATTACAGAATTTTTGTTTATGGTTTAATTTTTCGGTATATTTATTGACTGTGTTGACTTCAAATTTTGTATAGGTATGTTAAAAGAAGATCCATCCACGAAACCAGTTCTTATTCAGGAGAGGGTACAAAGTTTGTATGGATACAACATATCTTATAGGAAGGCTAAAATGAAGGTCATTGTGAAGTTGTTTGGCGACTGGGAAAAATCATATGCCATCTTACCTGGTTGGCTGACCTACATGACACAGATTAATCCTGGTTCTGTGTTCAAGATTGATACGGACCAGTGTTGTGACGAACGACGTGTCTACACCGATAAGGCTGTCTTTCGCAGGGTATTTTGGACTTTTCAGCAGTGCATTGAGGCTTTCAAATATTGTAAACCCATAATCCAAATTGATGGCACGCACCTGTACGGGAAATACAAAGGTACCATCTTGATTGCTACGTCACAGGATGGTGATGGATTCATTCTGCCTATTGCGTTTGCCATTGCTCCACCGGGTGAGAGATTGGATGATTGGTTGTGGTTTCTTAGCCAGATGCGTTTCCATGTCACACGTAGGCATGGTATATGTCTAATATCCGATCGTCACCCCAGCATCATCAGGGCTGTGAAGGATCATGCCGGTTGGCAGCCTCCATTTGCGTATCACGTGTTTTGTCTTCGTCACATTGGAAGCAACTTTAACACTAAGTTTAGGGACGTGAAACTGAAGAAAACGCTGATGAAACAAGGTAAGCTATTTTCATGAATGTGTACATGTTGTATGTAATGCTGTTTATGTATAACTCATTCAATTTGGGTTCATTTTTTGCAGGTTACATGTGTTCGAAGATTCACTTTGATTTAAGATTTCAAGAATTTGTCGATAGTAACCCACAAGTAGCCTCATGGATAGATCAGATTCCCAATGAGAAATGGTGCAGGTCTTATGATGAGGAGGGCCGAAGGTTTGGTCATATGACGACTAACCTATCTGAGTGTATCAATAAGGTCCTACGGGGTGCACGTAATTTGCCAGTAACTGCATTGGTCAAGATGACGCAAAGTAAACTTGTAGAGTATTTTGTGAAGAGGCGTGAAAAGATAAAAAAAGCAAAGGACAAAGGCTGGAGAATTGCAAAAAAGGTTGAGGCCTTCTTACAAAAGAATGATCAGTTAACTGTCAGTCTCCGTGTTTGTGTTTTTTATAGAGACTTGCAGTTGTTTGAAGTTGAGGATGCCTACAATCGATCTACGCATGATGCCGGCGACATTATGAGGGTTGACTTGCTAAATCGTAAATGTCAATGTGGACGGTTCACAGCTAGACGATTTCCTTGCAGTCATGTGCTAGTGGTGTGCAAGGTTGAAAAATTGAACCACTATGACTATGTCGATCCTGTGTTCTCAATTACACAAATTGAGAAGGTCTATGCTGCACATTGGTTTCTAATGGGTAATGAGTTGTTGATCCCAGAAATAAATGGTCCAACTATTATCCCAAATGCATCTTTGGTTCGTGCACAAGGGAGACCGAAGTCTTCAAGGATACAGAATGAAATGGATTGGGTTGAGTCCCAACCCACAAGGAGTAAAACTAGATGTATCACCTGCAAGCAAATTGGTTACAATAAACGTACATGTCCTATGAGGATTAGACAAAGCTGAACCAATGTTGTGCATGTATTTAAGGTCTTTTGTAAGAGTTTATGTAATTCTGTTATGAAGTTTTATGTTACTGTATAACTCATTATGTTATTTGACTTTTCATTTCTAAGTCCATTATCTAACATTGGTCCATATTGATAGATTGAAACTCATAACTAATACTAATATTACCCCTAAATGAATTCACCAAGTTTCGGGGAGCGTAAACAAACGGTTTCAAGCAATACGTACCCAATTGGATACGAATCCTGTACAATACAATTTTGTACCTGAAAGTATGTTCCCCAAGTCATTATATGCATGTACATTAGTATTCGATCGGTTCTGTGCCAAAAAAAATGCGTGCAAAACAGAATGGGGTGTTAAAACCACTTATTTAGTTGAGCAACCTGTGTTGGTTTAGTCGACTACACAGTTTAGTCGACTAAACCAGTACAGGTTGCTCGACTAAATAAGTGATTTTGACACCCCATTCTGTTTTGCACGCATTTTTTTGGCACGGAACCGATCAAATATCAATGTACACGCATATAATGACTTGGGGAACACACTTTCAGGTACAAAATTGTATTGTGGCGGTTATAAACCATGAATGTACATGTATTGCATAAATTTTGGTTTAGGGTACCCGAAACTTGTGTTCTTCATTTAACTCTCTTATGAGCACCTGTTCTGAATTTCATTGGACATTTTAGACCCGTTGGACTGTGATTAGACACAAATTGAAAACAAGAATGTAAAATTACCATGTTCCTTCATTTGGTAAACAAGAAAAATGACATAATTACGTAAACGGTTCACAACATGATGTGAACATTAAATAGTTCAACTCATAAACATAATATCACATAAACTACAAATGTCAAATATGAAGACCGAAGTCAATTACATAACAACACACACTACAAACGTAAAGTAAAAAACATAAACCCTAAATCTAATCCTCCTCCTCCTCGGACGCCGTCTCCTCGTCATCCTCGTCTGACACATCAATCCCCTGTCCTGCAACATCCTCAACCTGCTGTTTTCCTCGTCCAAGCTCTAGACGAGCAAACCTATCTTCAACACCCTTGAACCGTCCTTGTATATGTCTAAATCTTTCATTCCCTTTCTGCATGTGACTCTTCCTCCATTTTTTGTGTTTCAGCGCCATTTTTCCTATTTTCTTCAGCGTGGCGTTTATGCCCTTCATGACATCACGCAATGAAAACTCACCCTCAGGCTCAGCTATCTCCTGCTGGTCACCCTCATCATCATCGTCATCATCATCCTCCACCTCGGGCTCAACCATGTTTACAAGTGGAGCAACATCAGGAACCTCAACATCAGCCGCACCTGTGAACTGCCACACTCCTGTTTGGGGGTTCTTTGTCATCTTGCACTGCTCCAGTAGACGTTTTTCAAACTTATGATTATACCCTGTGGTCTTCTTCAAGGTCACATTACCCATGGGAACATCAAAATGCTCCAATATCCTCTGAACAAGACAAGCAAATGGAAGTGCACCCTTGTGTTTGGCCTTATACATCATCCAACAGATGTAGTGCCTCCAGTTCACCGAAGTACCATGTCGGATAGCCCACATGATGGGAATGTCATGCTCCAACACCCTGGAATGATTGAACGCTCACGGAAACAGAATGTGGGTGATGACATAGTGTAGTATACGGGACTCCACAGTAAGCAACCCCACCGTATAGGCAATGTGTTGCCCACGGACTCTTCTCTGCTCCTGCACGGCATCACCTCATGTATATCCTGGAAGTATGGTCCCGTTGTCTGCGTCATATTCCGCAGTCTGCGCAGAATCAAAGTCATACCCCAGTAACTCCAACCATACCAGAGCCGTCATAATGATCTCCACCCCACAGACCCTAGACCTCGTCTCACCCTGTACGTAGCTGAGGTTATGGTAGAAGGCCCGTACATGCAGCTCAGAATATGAACACGATAGTTCAGCCAAGGTCCTAAGATATGATTCCTCCAACCACCTCACAATGTTAAAACCTTCTTGTTCAAAAAAGGTTGTATCAAGTGATTTGGCCCCACATATAGGTCAGTTAACAAAGTCACGGACAAATGATTCATGAACCACGGGGTCATTCTCGAAAAAGTATCCGAATTGGAGGTCGACAGGAGCGGGCTCTTCCTCTTGTGGCCTTGACGAAGACGGATGGTCTTGTCATAGCTTCTGTCGTCTCTCATTTTCAGCGTTAGACGATCTTCTACGGCCAGCCATGGGAACAACTGTACCTACAATGCAAGTGGAAACAATATCAATGAACAATAACAATATCAAAAAATTTAAAATTCAATATAAAAAACAAAACCTAATCCTAAAATAAAACAAAAAACAAACCCTATACCTATACCATACCATAAAAACAGGAAACGTAAACCCCAAACCCAATCAAAAACAGCACCCCAAACCCTAACCCTAACCCTAGCACATCACAAAAAACCATTCCTAGCCCCTAACATAAAAACATAAACCCTAACACTACAACCCAAACAAAACAGCAACATAAACCCTAACATTAACCCTACCCTAACCCTAACCCTAAGGTACCACATCAACCCTAACCCTCACCCTCACAACAAACTTAACACCCTACCCCTAACCTAAATTCACAAAACCGCAAACAGAAATCAAATGCATGGAGAAAAAAAAAATAACCTAAACCTAAAACCAAATGCAAGTCAGAAAACGTTACATAAATGTCGATTTCGCAAGTGTGAACCAAGGATGCTTCAATCGCACCTTCAAGGGTTGAGATTCGGACTTGGTTGGAGAAATGGGACGGAATTAAGCGATTTAGTCGATTAGGGTTTGAAAATAACCCCCTTTGCGAAATGGGGTTTTTTTAAAAAAACCTGATCTGCGACATTTAGTCGACTAAATAATGGACTTAGTCGACTAAAAGTGCAACGAATGTAGACGATTAAGGTGAGTATTAAGTCGACTAAAACTCGCGTTTCATGATTTCTGAGTTTTGCCCATTTAGTCGATTAAAAGTGCAACTTAATCGACTAAATGGGGCCAGAATGGTGGATAATTCTGGAGAAGGGGCAAATTAGTTATTAATTATTTAATGAGAGGCAAAAGGGTCAAAAAGCCACCAAACCATACATAAAACTATCCGTATACAAATGATACATCAAGAAATATCATAATGAATCCAAGTGTGCAACCTTCTTAGTAGTATATAAATCACTGAATAAAGTTTCACAAAAACCTTCACTCAATCATATTCTGACTGCACAACTGTGTGGTTTCTTACGTGAGATATTAGAAATATGATAAAAAAATATATTACCTTATTAATCAAAGAAATCAAAATCGGTGAAGATCCATAGTAATCATCATCACAGCAAACAATCGAGGATAGCACAACAGATCTGAGGAGAACTGCAACGATGATCCATGAACTGGGTTGTTCTATTGCCTCGGGCGTGGATCTAGTGGACACAGGACAACATAAAAACTGATGAAATCAACAGATAGAGACAAGATGAGTGATCAGCAATTAGTATCATATAGAGAACCGATATGAGTAGAATAAAGTACCAACAGACAGCAGTAGTTGAAAACGGCAGAAATGATGAAAGTTGAAACCCTAACCTGTTCTTGGTTTGTCTAGCAATAGAAGAAGAAATAACACCAACCTTTTCATCATCAGTCGCGGCCACGGAGGTTCCCGCGGTTCAGCTGGTTGAACTTCCCCGTGTAAGCGTCTAGGAGACACACAATCGCGATGTCGCTCCACTCCTCCCGGTCCTTCCGGTATTCGCCGCCTCCGAACGCCGCGTCGTTCGCCGGATCGGGATCGTCTCCGGCTACGGCGGAGGACTTTAGCTTCTTGTTGCAATAGTAGTAGCTTCCGGTGACGGAGGATCGCTTAGACTTGGGGGTGTCCACGGCGGAGCTAGATTTGGTGAGACTGGAGGAGTCATCGGCGTCGGAGTCTGGGGGGGGGAGAGTGGGGGACTGCAGGAGGAAGGAAAGTGGTGGCGCGGGGAATCGTGGAGGTGGGGCTGCGCGTGGGGTTGGTGAGAGGGAGAGTCGAGGAGACGGTAGTCTTGAGTGGCCATAAGAGATATAAAGAGAAAGAGGGGTTAGGGCGACGGAGGAATCAGAGGCGACGTTATCACGGAGGTTGTAACGATTTCCGTCATCAGATAAAGAAACTTAGAAACGTGTGGTTATTGGCTTATTGCTTCTTGTTGCTGTTAATTCTAACAGCCAACATAACGATAACGATATTGTATGTAACACGCACAGCCAAAAGAAACTTCTTTTATTATTATTATATTTTTGGAAAAACTTTAAAAAAAGCTCTTATGGATTTTCTCAATTATTATTTACTTCCTTTACAAAAAATTTAAATTTTTTATATTTTTATTTAAATTTTTTTATCACTTATCTCATAATTTAAAGTTTCTTTATCACTTACCTTTTTACTTAGAGGATAAATGATAAAAAAAATTAAGTCGGAAAGATAAATGATTCAAAATTTTAGGAGAGGTTAATGATTATGAAAAAAGTTATAGGATTTTTCTTGAAATTTTTCCTATATTTTTTCAAATAAAACATTTCACGTAAAAAATAGAGAAATAGAAGTGTAATGTTATAGGAAAGTTGTTATACTATAGAGATAGAAACTAGAGATAAAGACCGTAAGATCGTACTTGTTTTATTTTTTGAAAACAAATATGAATTCCATAATCTCTGTCTTTATAATATAACCTAACAACTTTCTTAGAACGTTATTTTTTTTTTCCTAATAGAAAAAGGTGTGTTTTACTATTTAAGATCAGTTTTATGAATAAGATTTTTTTTATTAGATAAATTAATAATTTAGTATAGTAGTTAATTAGTTTATAATTTTCTCCACACATCACGTGAGGATGGAGGAGCATGCATAAAATAATAAAGGGGTTTATTTCCTACATAAATAAAATATGTGAGGTTCATGTGGAACTATATAAAAAGAAAAAAAAAATAAGTCTTACATATTTTTATATATATATATAAAATATAAATTTATTTTATATAATATGAGAAATAATAAACCAACAATAAAAATATAAACATGATCCACATGAAATCGTGAACCTTAGCCATTTAATACAATAAAAGATGCATTTAACCCCAAGTCATTATTAGCAACCGCGACTTGCCCGATTTATGGTAGACAAAAATTCACAACTTGCCCCACAACAGCTGAATATAAAAAGCCAATTACGGGTTAGTTACAGCCGATGGCGGACCCAGATGGGGTAAAAATAAAAAAAATTATATTATAAATAAAAGGAAGATTATACCTATTATTTAGTAAATTTACTATTTCTTATTACCTTATTTTCTATCATTGGATAACGGTCACTCGTGAGTAAAACATGATAGAAACAAAAATGAGAGAAAAAGTGAGGGAAAGTGATTGACAGAGAAAAAAATTTACTTTGATATTATATGACATTTATAAGAAATGTGGTAAGAGATGGCAAACTTAATAAGTATAATCTCTCCTTATAAACAAAACAAAAGTAACACAATAAAATATGAATATAAAAAGCTTGAAAGAATTTTATTGCAAGATTCAAGGTCAATTCAGTTAAGTTTACTCTACATATTTTTATATTATTAAAATATTCTTTAATTGAATCAGTATTAAAATTCAAAACAATTTATTTTTTAATATATGTAATCAGAGAATTATCAAGAAATTGTTTACCTTGAAGTTGACATTTGGACAAGAAGTTCTAAAAAAAGAAAATAATCCGTAAACTCAATCCTTAATTTCAATAACACATCTATTATATAAGTAACATGAATTGATGGACAAATGACTTCAATACTCAAGAGGGATGAATTGAGTTTTATAAAAAAAATTCGCAAAATGTCTCCTTTAATATTTTAAAAAATATTTCTCCAATTAAATGATTTAACAAGTAATATTTTAAGTATAGATACTAGTGTGTAATAAATAAATACAAGCTAATGAATAAATAAACACAATCTAAAAATGTAATTTACAAATTATAAAAACATATTGATAAAAGAAAGAAAAACTTGCTAAAAATCGCACGAGAATAACTATGTTTGGGTTAGTGATCTAATGCAACAAATTATAGAAACCTAAGAAAATATCCCTTCCTTGTCCATTTCTACAACTAACCGAATTAGGGCAAAAAAATCAATATTTTTATTTTAATAAAAAATTATGAAAATATAATTGTTTCAAACCAATTTACGAATATATTGCACTGAATTGCGCTCCTAGTGGGCGCAACAAGTCGCACCCTTAGTGGGCACAACAAGTTGCCCCTCATGGAGGTGCCAATGATGCAAAGTCACGACTCACACAGGCATGACCGGTTGTGCTCTAACCAAGCTCAACTTTGCACCATTCATGCAACACGACCAGTTGTGCCCTAACCAGGCGCGAATTTGCACCATTCATGCGGTAACATGTGACACAAAAAGTTAATATTTTGATCATAAAATTTCGGAAGATTGTAACTTTTGACTCGGGTGTCCGAATTAAGTGATTTGTTTTTTGATTCCACATAATTTTTCGAGATCTATGTAATGACATCTCATTGAAACGGATTCAGACAAAAAAAATTCCAAATTTTTTCGAATTTAAGATATTTTACCGGGGCAGGATCATCTTACACCGGTGTAAGAATAATAAGTCTTACACAAAATCTTAACCATTGATTTTTTACATCTAACGGTTAAGATTTATTAGGTCTCACTCATTAATTAATTTTTAATTTCCAATAAATCTCAACCATTGGATGCACGGAAATCAATGGTTAAGATTTGGTGTAAGATTTATTATTGTTACACCGGTGTAAGTTGATCCTATCCCTATTTTACCATATAACTTCAGAAGACAATAACTTTTGACTCAGATGTCCGAATCAAGTGCTTTTTTTATTGCATATAACTTTTCGAGAGCTACGCATGGCAAATTCGTAAAGAGGATTTGGTCAAATAAATTTTCCAAAAAATAGGACCACATTATATTATATTATTATTTTTTCAAAAACCTTTTTTAAAGAACTACATCTCCCTTACGCTCTCTTTCACTTTAATTGTTGTTCTCCACAAAGACAAAAAATACACATTCTCTCTCAACGAATTAATTTAAACTTGTCTTTGATATATTTTAAGAAAATTACATTTATATCCCTTAAAAAAAGTACATTTATGTTTAAAAAAATTAGTCATTTGTATTTGTATTATTTTATTTAAAAAATATAAGTCAAGCCCAAAGGCTCGTAGGTCAGGCTTTTATATTCAGCTTTTGTGGTGCAAGTTGTGAATTTTTATCTAGATTCTATATGAATTTTACAACAACTCGGGCAAGTCGTGGTTAGTTACGGCCTGCTCACATTCTAGAAATGCATAGAAAGATATTCTGATATTAATACCTATGGTGGGAGATCATTTTCTATATATCTATAGTAGGTACATCTGTCATTTAACAACTGATACTTGGATAAAAAAAATATTTTTCTCTTCTTTTCATACAAACTCAACAGTCATTCCTCATTTCTTATTGGATAGATGCACTGAGTGAATGGTATAGCAGTAGTACCATAAATATTTTCCTATTTCCCTACGGTGGCAGAGGATTCATTCAAGCACAAAAAAACGAGAGAAAGAATCAATGTCAACACTTGGTAAATCACAAAGAGCATCTTCTACAACATTTGGCACTTTTTAGCAAACAAAACAAAACAAATTTATGTGAAAATATTTGAGTAGCATTGTATACATCTAATAAAAAATTCTACTCATTATCTGAAGATCGACGACCATCACCAGATTGCCTTCCTTCATCATTAGAAGAATTCCCTCGAGCCCTCCTCTCACTCCACCTTGCCCAAATCCATCTTGAAATAAGGAACCCTCCTAATGCATAAATCTGGAATCAAATAAAGTAACCTTGTAAGAAAATGACAGGGAGTTATCCCAATTTTGAAGCAGAATAACTAGGCTAAGCAACATATTTCACAAATATCTTGTCTCTAGACTAGCTCATTATGCAATATTGGTCGAGTGAAACAATATCTTTAAAAAAATGTAAGAATAAGACGGTATACAATCAACTCTCATCCTTGCTTCACAAAATCAGGAGTATTGTGCTTCGGGGTTTGCTCTTACGTAAACTTGAGTAGTTAAGTAACAAATTTTTCTGAGAACAACAAGCTTCAGACGATCTTATGAAAATTTTCATTTAAAAAAATAATCATCAGTAGGACAAATAAAAAAAGAAATCAGAGTATTAAAAAAAGAAATCAGAGTATTAATATATCCATTAGTTACAGCATACCAAAGATAAGAAACAAAATCATGAATAACCTTATTATCTAAACTAAATCAACAAGGGCTTACAAATTATTTGAATATAGTTCTTTATCAATTAATAAAAAGCCTTATTAGCAAAGGACCGCAATATTACCAACAAGACCATCAGATTAAATATGAGTTCATTACCCACACCCCAAAAGGCATATTAAGGTTAAGATGCAACATTCCAACTTACGTAGGGAACTACAAAGTACAAGGATCATATAGACTTGAAAAAGAGTATTCTGATATATTATAGAATTGTAAATAATCTGTACAAAGGGTTCTCCATTTATAGAGAATAAAAGACCTAATACTTGACCTAATGGGCTTGGCCCAATAAAACAAATAAATTAATAAATAAAAAAATAACTATTATTTACAACACTCCCCCTCAAGCTGAGGAATAGATATTTATTATCCTCAGTTTGCTAGTAAGCTCTTGAAATCTGTCTGAAGTAAGTCCCTTTGTCAATACATCAGCTAATTGACGTCCAGTGGGAATGTATGGAGTGGTAATCAACCCGCTATCAAGTTTCTCTTTAATGAAATGGCGGTCGACCTCGATATGTTTAGTCTGATCATGTTGAACTGGATTATGAGCTATACAAATAGCGGACTTATTATCACATAGCAACTTCATAGGTCTCTCACATTTTATTTTGAGATCATCAAGTACAATTTTTAGCCACAGTAACTCAAGAATACCTTGAGCCATAGCTCGAAATTCAGCCTCTGCACTTGATCTGGCAACCACATCTTGTTTCTTACTTCTCCACATCACCAAGTTACCACAAAGAAACATACAATAACCAGTAGTAGAACGACGGTCAGTCACAAATCCAGCATAATCAGCATCAGTGTAGACTTCTAAAGAAAGATCTCCATCACGTCGGAATAACAGTCCTTTACCAGGAGTAGCTTTAAGATACTGAAGAATTTTCTCCACTGCCTGCATGTGTTTCTCCTTTGGATCATGCATAAACTGACTGACAACACTAACAACATAAGCTAAGTCTGGTCTAGTATGAGCCAGATATATCAATTTCCCAACTAGCCGTTGATATTGTCCTTTATCAACTGGGGACTCTCCTCTTCATAGCCTATCTTGTGATTCTGCTCAATAGGAGTATTAGAGGGTTTACACCTGAGCTTTCCTGCTTTTTTGAGAAGATCAAGAACATATTTCCTCTGGCTGATAAAAATTCCTTTTTTTGAATGAGCTACTTCTGTCCCTAGGAAATATCTCAGTTTCCCAAGGTCTTTAATTTCAAACTCAGATGCTAGTCTTGTTTGCAGAATGTCTCTCCACAAAATCATCACATGTGATAATAATATCATCAACATATACAAGGAGCACAGTGAGCTTCCCATCTTGAGAGTACTTAAAGAAAAGAGTGTGATCTCCTTGACTTTGTTTGTATCCTAAGGTCATCATAACCTTAGTAAATCTTCCAAACCAGGCACGAGATGACTGTTTCAATCCATACAAGGCCTTTTTTAATCTACAAACTTTATTTTCTCCATTCACAGAATCAAAACCAGGAAGAATTTCCATGTAGACTTCTTCTTCTAACTCACCATTAAGGAAAGCATTATTCACATCAAATTGATTTATATCCCAATTGTAATGAGCAGCAAGGGATAACAAGACTCTCACCGTATTCATCTTTGCAACTGGAGCAAAAGTTTCTTCATAATCAATGCCATAGGTCTGAGTGTAACTTTTGGCTACTAATCGAGCTTTATATCTCTCAAGGGTGCCATCAGAATTATACTTCAGGGCATAGGGGTGTTCATAAACCGATCCAAACCGATTCAAACCGCAAAAACCGAACCGAAAAACCAAAAACCGAAATAACCGAAAACCGAAAAAAATCGAAAAAATTTACTGGATTGGATCGGTTTTCGGTTTGGATGTTGAAAACCGATCCAAACTTATTTTCTACCAAATTGGGCCTATCCCAAATAATAGTCCAAAGTTATAAACCCACCCATTAGCCCATCAGCTTTGAAGTGAAACCCAAAAAAATGCTAAACCTAATTCATCCAAACTTACGCTCTGGCAGTGCAGTGGCATCTGTGGGTGAGGGTCTTGTCGTCGTTTTGCTCTCTCAGTCTCTCACTCTCTCAGTCTCTCACCACCATATCATTTGCATCTTCCTGTCTATTTCGCTGTCCTCAGTCGTCGCTTCCTCAACATTGCTGCACTTATGTTCTTCCATAACTAAGGTCATTGCCCATTGGTCTTCACGGTTTGTTTTTGTATTTCATCTATGTTGAGAGCGTTTTTAAAAATAAAAAAAATAAAATTCATTCTAAGCGTTCATTTTTCGTTGTATATATATACAGAGCAAAATAAAAGAAAGTCATTGCCCATTGATTTATTTTGCTCTGCACTTATATTTAAAATGTTGTATATACAACTCTACAACTGTATATTTTGATGTTTCGCTCTGATTCATTTTTTGGGTTCGTTTTTTCTTTATTCTATTATACAAATCATATGGTGGTGAATAATATAAATTGCATCTTTCATATTCTATTTGTAATCGTTATTTGCATATGATTTCTAAAAGATTTTAGTGATTTGCCACTAATTGTTTAGTCCCCCAGGTTTTGTTCTTCCACTAATCAGTTAAGTACGTTTGAAATGTTTTGAAACATCCTCATTTTTTCTAAAAATAATTCTTATAATTTTTGTTTTTTTGGCTTTTCAAAAAACCGAAAACCGATCCAATCCAAACCGAAAAAAATTGGATCGGATTTGAAAAAAAATTCAAACCGATCGGATGATGTAATGACCAAACCGAAGGAATTGGATCGGATGGTTTTTTGTTTCAAAACCGATCCAATCCAAACCGCGAACACCCCTATCAGGGCATACACCCATCTGCACCCTACTGCTTTCTTTCCATTGGATCTATCAATAACCTCTCATGTTTTATTTTTCTCCAACGCATTCATCTCCTCTTGCATGGCTTGAGCCCAATTCCCATCTTTCAATGCTTCATGTACTGATTTTGGGATTGAAATAGAATCTAGTGCTGAAACAAAGCTTTTGTGCTGCACAGAAAGATTAGTAGAAGAAACAAAATGGGAGATAGGATATTGAGTACAAGAGGGACAGGAGGAACAAGATTTCTTGGTACAAGATTTTTTTCCTTTTCTTAGGGCAATAGGTAAGTCATCAGAAGCAGAAGCAATGGGTAAGTCATTAGAGATATCAGAAGAAATACAAATCACGAGAGGCAATAATATTAGAATCAGAAATAGGAGATTCAGAAGAAACAGGAGATTCAGGACTTACCAGTGATTCAGACGATTGAGGTTGCTGGTGAGACAGTATGGGTTGTTTCCTCCTCTGATATACCAATTCAGGTGTCAAAATATTTATATCTCAGGTGTATTTGAAGGTTCTGACATACCAGGAGCAGACACACTAGGAAGAGGTGTAGAAGTAGACAAGACTGATGTATTTGAAGGTTCTGACACACCAGGAGCAGACACACTAGGAAGAGGTGTAGGAGTAGACAAGACTGATCCAGACTCAAAGAAGGAAGGGGATGAGTCTTCTGAAGAACTGTTCTCTCCCTGAAGATGAAGACCCGGGAAATAAGATTCAGATTCTTGAAAGGTGACATCCATAGAAACAAAAAAATTTCGACTTGGTGGATGATAACACTTGTATCCTTTTTTATAAGGGGTATAACTAAGGAAGACACACTTGAGAGCCCTAGGATCCAACTTACTCCAATGTTGTCTATGAACATGGACAAAGGCAACACATCCAAACACTCTTGGTGGAAGGCTCTGCAATATGGGAACAGAAGGAAAGAAGGAAGTCATGGAATGAATAGAACTAGTATTGTTAAGGACCCGTGAAGGTAAACGGTTGATCAAAAAGGTTGCAGCTAACACGGCTTCTCCCCAATAAGAACTAAGAACAGATATCTGGAAAAGTAATGCTCTAGCAACTTCAAGGAGGTGACGATTTTTTCTTTCAACAACCCCGTTTTGTTGAGGGGTATCAACACATGTGAGCTCATGAATCATACCTCTGTCTGAAATGAATTGTGACAAGCGTTGGTTGACGTACTCAGTACCATTATCAGATCTTAGTCTTTTAATACACTTACCAAACTGAGTCTCAACCATGTGATGAAACCGAATAAATATCCCTGGTACTTCAGACTTGTCTTTTATCAAGAATATCCATGTTACCCGTGTACAATCGTCAATAAAAGAAATAAACCACCTTGCACTTGAAACACTATGCACTTTAGAAGGGCCCCAAACATCAGAATGGATAAGAGAAAAAGGTTTGCTGCTTTTAATAGTGCTACCAGGAAATGACACTCGATGGTGTTTTGCAAATTCACAAACATCACAATGAAAGGTCTCAACCGACTGATTAAGAAACAGAGAAGGAAACATAGACTTCAATAGACTGAATGGTGGATGCCCCAGACGCTTGTGATGGAGCCAAATCATAGACTCTGCAGTAGAAGGATGACGTGTCATTAATAACTGATTTTTGCTATTATTTATAGCATGTTCTGGAAGGAGATGATACAACCCATCATGCTCATTAGCAACTCCAATTGTCTTCTTCGTGGTAAGATCTTAAATAACACAATGAGAAGGAAAAAATGTGATAGAACAATTCAAATCAGTGGTAAGTTTTTGAGTGGAGATAAGATTAGTAGAAAGCTGAGTTACATAAAGAACATTTTTAAGAAACAAGAAAGGCTGAATTTGAATGTTACCAGAACCAATAACTGATTTATGGGATCCATCAGCTACGGATATAGTATGACTACCAACAGTAGGATGATAAGAACGAAAAAACTCAGTACGACAAGCCATATGATCAGTTGCACCAGAATCCAAAATCCATGAGGTTTTAAAATCAGTGCAATAAGCAAGAAGAGATGTAGAACGTGTGCTCTTACCAGACAAGATCAAAGAACGGTCAGATGGCTTACACATATTATCAATAGCGGGTTTAAACTGATCCAACTCTCTTTGCTGAATATTCACATATGGAGAACCATCTTATAAATTGGCCATAGTGATAAGAAAGAGTGAAAAACAGCACCAAAGAACACACAACGTACACCCAAACGACGTCAGATCAGAGAGAAAACACAGATCCGGGTAGAGGAGACAAAAACAAAAAAACAAATTTTTTTTTTTAACAGTACCCGATGAACTGTGCCGCGTGAACAGTGCGCGATGAACAGTACCGCGTTTTTTTTTTTTAGCTGTTCCGGTCGTCTGATTAAAAAGAAACCTCCGTAGAATGATAGATCTAAGAAAAACAGAGTGAAATAGGGAACCTCACGGTCTAAAAGGTCCCCGAAATTTTTTTTCCCGGCGGCGGCGAGAGGCAAATAGGGTTTGGTTTTTAAAGACGGTGATTTGCGGAAGCAAAACCCTCAGAATCGAGAGCTCTGATACCAACTTGAAAAAGAGTATTCTGATATATTATAGAATTGTAAATAATCTGTACAAAGGGTTCTCTATTTATAGAGAATAAAAGACCTAATACTTGACCTAATGGGCTTGGCCCAATACAACAAACAAATTAATAAATAAAAAAATAACTATTATTTACAACATATAGGAAAACAAGAAAAAGATCCCTATACATGGAAGATATCACAAACAGGGTAAAAGAATGCCCACTGGTGCGGTGCGATTCTATTTAGAGGGAAAAGGGAGAGCCACTCACATAACAATTCTAGGGATCTTTCTTTAATATGTCACCATAACAGCATCATTCTGTCCACTTAATCAAACTGAAAATCGGAGTAAAAGGTCTTAATCTGATTAATCTAAGAACTTTCACATGTGACACAAGCTGAATCTTCCCTGAACTTCAAACCAAACCCATAACCGCCTATTTTTCCTATCACCAGTCTCTTTCAGTATGCTTATAAATACACCCCTCCCTTTCCAACACTCCTTGACTTCCTGTTGGCCTTCTTGACAATGTCGATGTGCATACAAAACATGCAGGGGAAGATGGTCAGTTGTTGGTGACAATGCTAGGATTGGAAAATTTTCCCAGAAGGATGGATCATCATGGAGAACTAACCAAATGGAGTGGATAGGGGTCAGCTACCCCAGCCACAGTAGGGACGCAGGCAGGGAGGGGATTTCAAGTTTGGTAATGCTGATGGTGGGGCGGATGGGTGAGTCCTTAATCCTAGGCACCCAAACTATACATAAAACTATCCGTATACAAATGATACATCAAGAAATATCATAATGAATGCAAGTGTGCAACCTTCTTAGTAGTATATTAGTCACTATTGTTAACCAACCATAAAGTTTCAAAAAAATCTTCACTCAATCATATTATGACTGAACAACTGTGGTTTCTTATGTTTGCGCCTACAATAACCTTATGATTACTGCTTGTGAAAAGTCATTCTTCATGGCTATTTTCTGTGAAAAATCATTCTTCGTGGCAAAAACAAAAGATAAAAAGGATAATTAAGGCCCCAAATCATCATACAAGTATGATGGGAACCTTTCAAACCACCATAGGTTCGGAGAATCTTTTCATCATCCAAATCCTAGTTTACTCATGTAAGACAAAATCAATGCAAATTTACTTTCCCTCCCCCATATCATTGACACAACAAGTTGAATAAAAAAAACTGTGTCTTCACTTGACATTATTCCAAAAAATTTAATACCCATTTCTAAACTATCCATAGACAGAATGGAAGATCTTGATTATTTACCAGTCCTGGGGTTGAAAACACAATAGGCATCAGAAGCAATATAAAGCACTAATTACCTAAATGACTGGTAACACTTTAAAAAAAAAAAAGTAGTCAGACAGCATAAATGACAGAAAATAATTTGACAGGTTTAAAAAGTTGGTATAAACTTCCAACAAGAATCATGGAGGCAATATATCAATCAAATGCTAATTGATCCCATTCTATCTCAAGCAAGTCTGAAGTAAAACTTCACTTTCAATCTTTATCCATGAATTAAGTTGATCAAGAAACGAAAGGTTCCACTCATCACACTTCATTTTCCAGCGCTTACAAAACAAACGGACCATATACCGACCCATCCAGATGTTTACAAGTTCTCAGAGAGACCCTAAACCCTAATCTCATAACTAAGTCCCACTTGTTTGCGATGCAATTTTTCTTTAATATTCAAAAATCATAACCAAACGTTTCAATTCATGCTCATCCCTTCAATATTGAAATCCACACCAACTTGCTTTTGCATTCACAGAATATATATATTTCGAGAGAGAGAGAGAGAGAGAGAGAGGAAATACCTGCCAGCGTACGAGAGGATTGGAATTCTTGTTATGAAACTGGTCAGCGTCAGGTTCAGCCTCAAGAGAAGGAGGAACGATAACTTGGGTTTTCGGAAACCGTACAACGTTGGGCTTGGAACACTCCTGCTGGTGGTTCAGCTTGTTTGGGATGCTGGGTTTGTCATCAGGTTTTGGTTTTGGATTGAGAAAAGGAAGTTGCAGGTTCAACTTAGGGAACAAAGAAAAAAGGTTTGTTATGGGTTGTTGTTTTGGTGCTGCTTCTGCTTCTGCTTCCGCTTCTTTAATCACCACAATTTCGGTGGTTTTCGCCATTTTGTTGCTCAAGCGGCGGAGATATCAATAGCAATAGTAATAGCAGCAAAGGAAGGGAAACGAAGTTAAAGAGTTTGCATTGATACATAAATACATTATATATAGGAAAAAACTAATAATATGTAACATGATATAAAGTTTTTTACCCACTCACCCATTGGTTTTCGCACCAGCATTTTTTACTTTTTATTTTTATTATATGTGTGGGACCCACGTATATTTTTGTTTGAGTAGGAAAAACTATCTAGATTATGTAACATGATATTTTTGAAAAGCAAACAGGGAACAGAAAAACAAAAACAAAAAAAGAAACTAGGAACACCTCCTAGACCAAACTACTCCTACATAGTCCCTTTCAAGTTTGTCACGACAACCAGAAGGAGGCGAGTCAAACTCTTGTAAAGACCAATCAAAGGAGTAGGCAAAAGAGGCCATCCAATCGGCAACCTCATTCCCTTCCCTATGAATATGGGAAATTCTAACCCTCCAATTCCAATCCAGCATATTCCTTATGCGCAAGACCAAGTTAGAGTCTCTTATGAAAAACTGGGCTACTAAGGAATCACCTTCAAGCCAGACAAAACGGAAACCTTTCCTCCATGCAATCTCAAGCCCAAGGAGACAACCCCAAAGTTCTACTAACAAAACATTACCACAGCCAAGATTTTTACAAAAGCCAACAAGCCACCTTCCACTAGCATTCCTAAATACACCCCCACAAGCAGAAGCTTCTCCATTATTCGTACTTGACCCATCCACATTGAGCTTAACCCAAGGGTCCGAAGGAAAAACCCAAGAAACTAATTTCTCTTTATTCGAGTTAGTCTCAAGACCATCAACCCGAAGCATGTTTTCTGACCAAGAAAAATCTTCACCATAGACCATAGCAGCTCTAAAAGTGCCATAAGCAGGAACAGAAGATCCCTGAAAAATTTTCTTATTCCTAGCTTGCCAAATGAAACAGGAAATGATACCAAACAGAAGAGGCCATGATGGCAAATTGGACCAATTACGATCCTCAGAGATATTGGACAACACCCATTGCTGAAGATTAAGAGAGAAAAAATCCTCCCAAGCCTCTCGCTTAACTGCAATCTCCCACACTTTTTTTGCTGCAATACAATCTCTAACCGCATGTAAGGAAGTTTCCGTAAAACAATTGCACAGATGACATGTAACATGATATTAGCTTTACCCTTATATATATGCCCTTTAATTTTCTCTTGTTTTCTTGTAACTAAACTAGTGGTTTGCTCCACAATTATTTTAAAAAATAAAAATTTACATTTGCAAAATATGAATGCGTTAAATCATATTGCCCTTGCCACTAAAAATACAATATAATTGTGGATAATATCACCGTTGGTATTCACAATATTGATTTCGTAACAATCACACTAATGAAACATTACTTCCTCGTTAAATGTTGTAACTGACATTGTTTGTATTGGTTATGTGTGCTAAATGACAATCAGAATTTTACCCAATTTGTCTCTTTGTATCCATGTCTCTCTTTTGTCTCCCATTATTTTAACACATCTCATACAAAATAAGAAAAATAAATAAATAAATATATATATATATATATATATATATATATATATATATATGATTTTAATATTTTTACAGTGAAGATAGATAAGTTACCTACATTCACTTTTAAAACAATGTCGTTTTGGGTTGAAATATTAAAAAATTATAACGAAAAAGACTATTATAACCCTGAAATAAATTATAATTACAAAATGATCATGATTTTTGTCCCAAAACGATGTCGTTTTGAGCTTAATATAAATAATTTATCTACTTTGACGACAAAAAAATGAATCCTATATATATATGAGAAAGATATTTTTCAAGTCACTTAAGATATATTTATCTCCGGTGATCTCAAAACTATGTTATTTTGTGTATATATTTCCTTATATTAATTGATTCATTTTTAAATGGGTATGATTCTCTTTTTCTCTCTTTTTCTTTATCACTATTAATCTATTTTTGTACGATTATGATTTAATACCAAGAGATAAGTGACTTGAAAAATGATAAATTATATATATATATATAGGTAAAATCATTTCTGCAGCCGCTTTACATACAACAATGACAGGTGTATGGTTATGATTCTCCACATTTAATGCTTTCAAATATATATATGGCAAATATTTGATTGCTGCACATACAGCAGCTGCAGAAATGTAAACCTCGTATATATATATATATATATATATATATAGGGCATGATATTCTTATACAGGTGTAAGAATTAGAAGCCTTACACTCAATCTTGAGCATTCATCCACTTGTATCCAACGGCTCACATTATCAAAAAATTAGGGCCGATAGATTTAATTGGAATCAACAGTCAAGATTAAGAGTGTAACTTACACTGGTGTAAAATGATCCTAACCCTATATATGTATATATATATGGATAAGATCAACTTACACCGGTGTAAGAATAATAAATCTTACACCAAATCTTAACCGTTGATTTTCATGCATTCAATAGTTGAGATTTATTGGGAATTAAAAATTAATTAATGAGTGAGACCTATTAAATCTTAACTGTTAGATACAGAAAATCAATGATTAAGATTTAGTGCAAGACTTATTATTCTTACACCAGTGTAAGATAATCCTGCCCCATATATATAGAGTTTAACGTTTCTCACGCTGCTTGTCATGTCCTCTGTATATACTTCTCCTCCAACACAAGAAGTTTTTTATATCACTTGTGTTGCAAGAGAAGTGAAGTTATATTCCTTCGTGCATAACCAACAATGAAGAGAGAGAAAATGTGAGAGAAAATTAAATGATGAGTCGTAGGTTATTTGATGTCTCTGTTGGGAGAATATAATTTCTCTGGAGAAGTTATATATATATATATATATATATATATATATATATATATATATGAGGTAGGATCCTTTGACACTGGTGTCAAATTTCAATTTTGACACCTCATCTTAGAACCATTAGGTCAAAAAAAATCAATGACTCTGATTTGCAAGCATGTGACACCATTGATCTTTTTTTATCTAACGGCTCTGAGATGAGGTGTCAAAATTGAAATTTAACACCGGTGTCAAAGGATCCTACCTCTATATATATATATATATATATATATATATATATATATATATATATATATATATATATATATATAGGGCTTAACATTTCTGCAGCAGTCGTAGATAGTGTGATCTACAGCTGACATAGAAAAGTGGACCCCACGACTTTAAAAAAAAAAAAAAACACAGGATCCGTTGCCGTATCCTAGGATCCGGCAACGCGGATCCTTGCTTGCTGTAGATACAGCAGCTGCAGAAATCATTTTGCCATATATATATATATATATATATATATATATATATGAGGTAGGATATTCATACTATCTAATTTTTCTACTATCACTTCACTACCACTCTAATCACCATTGGATTAGAAGAAGAGTAAACACCATTTTTGGTCCCTGGCAATATCTACGAAATCCTTTTTAGTCCCTGGCAATAAAAAAGAACCAAATTGGTCCCTAAAATTATGAAAAAAGGGCCACATTAGTCCTTATGTCAACTCCTCTGTCACTAACGTGGCCCTTTTTGCATACTGTTAGGGACCAATTTGGTCATTTTTTATTGCCAGGGACTAAAAAGGATTTCGTAGATATTGTCAGGGACCAAAAAGAGTGTTTACTCTTAGAAGAAAAGTTGAATGAAGAGAGAGAAAAGAAATAATCCAATGGTGAATAGAGTAGTAGTGAAGTGGGAACAGTGACCAAAGTGCCACTGTTGGCAAAAAAATTTACCAAACGGCCACGCTAACAGTAAATTTTGCCAAAATGCCACGTGGCATATTTCGCTACACTGTGTAGCGAAATATGTGTGCAAATAATTCGCTACACAGTGTAGCGAAATATGCCACTTCAGAACCAAAAATGCCATGTGTCAAAATTGGAGAAATTCGCTACATATTTTGACACATGGCATTTTTGGTTCTGACGTGACATATTTCGCTACACTGTGTAGCGAATTATTTGCACACATATTTCACTACACAGTGTAGCGAAATATGCCACGTGGCATTTTGGCAAAATTTACTGTTAGCGTGGCCGTTTGGTAATTTTTTTTTACCAACGGTGACAAAATGGTCATTGTTCCAGTGAAGTGATAGTACTAAAAATTTAAGTGGAATTAATATCTTACATCTATATATATATATATTAAATAATTTTTATATTATAAGAAATAAATTTTATCTTCTATACACATATAAAAATATATCGAACCTATGTTTTCTTCTATCTTGTTCTCGTATGATTCGACATGGACCTTACCGTGTCTAGATGGTTCCGCCCATGCTATCGCTGTTCTTCTGTGACTTATCATTCCTACTTTGTCATAAGCTAAAGACGTGTTTCATATTTAAAATACACTGTTTTCTGATACATTTTTAACAAAATGTTTTTATGGTTTTTTAACAATTTTTAAAAATTATATTTTACCTCTTAAGAGAAGTATTGAAGTTATTAAATTTTTCAGCTTTTTTGTGTTTTTAAAATATTATTTAATTATTTATATTTTTCAAAGTTTTTTTTCTTAATTAAAAAACATCTTTTGTAAAAGAAAAAAGAAAGAAAGAGAGAGAACTTAATCACATAGACCATAAGTCTTTGTGTATTATAAGAATAACTTCCCAAAAAAAAGTAGTTCAGAGCTACTCCGGGCTCAAGTCACGAAGAAATTGATAATTTTATCAATTTAAAATGGATTTGAATTTTATCATGTAAAAAAATAATTATGTGATCATTTAAAACTTAATAATATTTTATTGGTAAATTAATATATGTATGTGTCCGCATACGCATGCGTGTGAGAAATAATTGTTAATTTTATTTATATTTAGCACGTGATATTAACATGGCTTTTTGACCCTTTTGCCCCTCATTAATTAATTAATAATCAATTTGCCCCTGATCCAGAACTATCCACCAACATGCCCCCTTTTAGTCGACTACCTTGCTTTTTTAGTCGAGCAAATGGTCAAAATTCAGAA